GGGGAGCCACTCTAGCATGTCTTCAACCTGAGCATGTAGCTGGGGAGGGTCCCAGTGCTCTGGAAGACTTCATGTCTCATCCCGGTTCCTAAGAAAAAACACCCCAGGGATGCGGGTGACTTCAGACCAGTAGCACTGACGTCACACATTATGAAGACCTTTCAACGGCTGCGGCTCCATGTCCTCAGACTCCAGATCCACTGCAGTTTGGATACCAGCAGAAGGTGGGCGTGGAGGATGCCATCCTCTATCTGCTCCATAGGGCCCACTATCATCTGGACAAGGAGAGTGGCGCTGTGAGAATTGCGTTTTTTGATTTCTCCAGCGCCTTCAACACCATCTGGCCGCTCCTGCTGAGAGACAAGCTGACAGACATGAGGGTGGACCCACTCCTGGTGACATGGATTACAGACTACCTCACAGAGAGACCACAGTACGTCAGACTGAAGGGCTGCACGTCAGACACCGTCCTTTTCACCGTGTACACATCCGACTTCCAGTATAACTCTGGGCTCTGCCACATGCAGAAATACTCGGACGATACTGCGATAGTTGGCTGTATCAAGGATGGACAGGAGGGGGAGTACAAGAGTCTTGCCGAGGACTTTGTGAGGTGGTGCAGGTCCAACCATCTGCAGCTGAACACCTCCAAGACCAAGGAGATGGTGATGGACTTCAGAAGGAGGAAACCACATCTCCAACCCGTGTCCATCGAGGGGGTCGATGTGGAGGTGGTCAGGACCTATAAATATCTGGGGCTGCAGCTGGACGACAAGCTGGACTGGACAGCAAATATGGACGCTTTACACAGGAAAGGGCAGAGCCGTCTGTACTTCCTGAGAAGGCTGGGGTCCTTCAACATCTGCAAAAAACTACTGCAGATGTTTTACCAGGCTGTGGTGGCCATTTATGCTGTGGTTTGCTGGGGTGGAAGCAGCAAGAAGAGAGACGCCGGTCTACTGGACAGACTGGTGAGGAGAGCTGGCTCAGTGGTGGGCACAGAGCTGGACTCTCTGGTGACAGTGGCAGAAAGAAGGACCCTGGACAAACTGCTGTCCATACTGGACAATGCCCACCACCCTCTGCACAACACCTTCACAAGGCAGAGGAGTGTGTTCAGTGGCAGACTGCTGTCTCAGTCCAGCTCCACCAACAGACTCAAAAACTCTTTCGTCCCCCTGGCCATCAGACTGTACAACAGCTTGGGCAATTATTGTCCTCCCTGCCTTTACTGAGAGCTGTTGAGATAATAGATAATAGACAATGGACAATTTCTACCTGTATTTGCACATCCATTTGCACTGTTTACTGTTTGCACTGTTTACTGTAAAAGCTACTGTTAATTTTATATGCTACTGTTAATTTTATATATGCTACTGTTAATTTTTTTATATTATATATACATATATAATACTTTATATTTTATTTGATCTTTTATTTTATTTTTAATTCTATTCTTAAGGTTAGAGTTTTTAATTTTAGTTTAATGTATGTTTAATATACTTGAATTTCCCTCGGGATAAATAAAGTATCTATCTATCTATCTATCTATCTATCTATCTATCTATCTATCTATCTATCTATCTATCTATCTATCTATCTATCTATCTTTTATATCTACAGACACCGGGGGTCGCCTTCCGTGGAGGCTACTATCTTGAACAGTTGCCCAGAACCATTGACATACATAAAGATGTACGACATAAAAACGCCCCAAAAGTAAAGCCAAAACCTCTCGATCAGAGGAGTCTAGTCCATAGAGGAGGTTGGTCCTCCTCTATTTTTTGAGAAGCAAGAGGGAGATCAAACTATTTAAACATAATCCATTATCAAATATCAGTATCATTTATGAATAAACTTTTTTCTCTTCTTTGCTGCTGATTCATTTGTCATTCAAAAGTGAAAAACTAGTGACCCAACTCATGAACTTTTGCTACATGTCAATATTTCCTCATGCCGTAAATCCTCTGGATACTAGTTCCTCTCTTTCACTGAACTCAGCTGCTCTCACTTGTTCTTTAGATCATTAAACAAATACACCCTAAAGAACCAATGTATTCATCCAGTCTCCCAACCCTAATTTTACCTACATTACACAACCTGTATAGAAGCTATATCATATAGTGATGTCCTAATCAAGTTGTTTTGGCCCAGATCCCATACAACTCCATTTACACTGGGTGTCTGCCCATTGACCCAGTTGAGCCACAGACCAGTCAGGGTGCCCAGGTGGTCATAATGTTATAGCTGATCAGTGTATATCATACTCATATGGGATCTGAAAATTGATGCGTTACTTTTGTACTGGCACTCCCCTAGTTCATACAACTTATATTGTCCGACCACTTATATTGTCCAACCAAGTTTTTACTGCTGTTTGTGGACATCCCCACTAGAACACTACGTTCTCTGAATGCTGGGCTACTTGTGGTTCCTATAGTCTCTAAAAGTAGAACAGGAGCCAGAGCCTTCAGTTACCAAGCTCCTCTCCTGTGGAACCAGCTTCCAGTTGGGGTTCGGGAGGCAGACACCCTCACCACATTCAAGAGTAGGCTTAAGACATTCCTCTTTGATAAAGCTTATAGTTAGGGCTTGATCAGGTGAGTCCTTAACCATCCCTTAGTTATGCTGCTATAGGCCTAGACTACCGGGGGATTTCCCATGGTGCACTGAGCTCCTCCCTTCCTCTCTCTTTCTGCACTCATGTTCCATTAATGTTCCATTAATGCATGTTACTAACTTCACTTCTTCCCCGGAGTTCTTGTGCTTTCTCGTCTTGCAGGTTCTTATCGATCCTGGTGGAGCCTCCTGCCATGGTCCTGCTAGATTGCCATTGCCAATACTGTTGTTGCTGTGCACCTGTCTGTCTGTCTCTCTCTCTCTCTCTCTCTCTCTCTCTCTCTTCTCTCTCACCCCAACTGGTCGAGACAGACGACCACCCACCTAGAGCGGAAGGATCTGTCCTAGGTTTCTGCCTTTTAACAGGCAGTTTTACCTTGCCCTTGTCGCCAAGTGCTTGCTCATGGTGGTACTGTTGGGTCTCTGTAATTAATGTTTTAAAGAGTTCGGTCTAGACCTGCTCTATTTGAAAAGTGTCTTAACTCCATTCATAACTTCTGTTATGAATTGGCGCTATACAAATAAAATTGAATTGAATTGAATTGAAAGCAGGGTGAAAAGCCCTTCTCATGGAGACATTATATCATTAAAATATGGAGATGACAGGTGTTCCTACAGGGTGGGTCGTTCCTTAATCGGAAGGTTGTGGGTTCGATCCCCGGCTCCTGGTGCCACATGTCGAAGTATCCTTGAGCAAGATACAAAACCATTAAGATGTTAATTTAGTAAATTATGGTCCAATTTAGAGTAAAATAGACAATAAAGTCGCGTATCCTTTTGGGTGGGGCTACTTTTTGATTGACAAGTCATTCCCAGTGAATCTGTCCAGCGCAGCGCAGGAAACTCAGATCAAACTGTCAGGGCGGCTGTGGCTCAGAGGAAGAGCAGGTCGTCCTCTTATTGGAAGGTTGTTGGTTCGGTCCCCGGCTCCACATGTGCTTGAGTAAGATACTGAACCCCAAAGTGCTCCTGATGCTGTGCATCGGTGTGTGAATGCGTTAGTTTCTGTTAGATGGACTTTGCCATCACTGAGTGAATATGTGTGAAAAGATGAATGTGGCACATAGTGTAAAAGCAATTACTATTATTAACACCATTGTTTCATACTACAGATGAGTAAAAACAGCCAAATTAGCCTACATTACGTTGAAATACCAATATATGGGTACTGAACTCAGATCAGTGTAGTGTGATGCTTACAGCACCACAGCTATAGTAGTCTACTATAACTGGTGAAGGGACTTATCCAGTGATCGTCCAGTCTATTGATAGGCCTATGGTTCAGCCTATGGTCCAGACTCTTTCCTCCTCTTTATTGGATGCCAGTGGACTGTTAATGTTATCACTGCAGCTAGGAAGAATCTGTGTGGCACTGACATCATTAAAGACATGACATTAAAGCCGTAATGGACCTTCTCCTGGACACCCTGCAGTTCGGTAAACATGGCCCTGCATCCTCCAAGCATCTGGACTCCCCAGGAACCTATGCCAGGATCCTGTTTGTCGCCTGACAGGAAGCTGCACATAAAGCTGGGGAAAAATGTCTCTGACTCTCGGACCATCAGCACCGGCTCTCACTAAGGCTGCCTTCTTTCTCCTCTGCTCTTCTCCCCGTACACCAACAGCTGCACCTCCAGTCACCAGTCCGGTCAGGCTCCTGAAGACTCCTGGATGACACCACCCTCATTGGGCTTATCTCTGGTGGAGATGAGTCCGCCTACAGATGGGATACTGACCATCTGGTGACCTGGTGCAGCCAGAACAACCTGGAGCTAAAAGCTCTAAAGGAGATTGTTGTGGACTTCACAGGAAAAACTTACTCGGCAATAAACCTGATTCTGATTCTGATCACTAATGTTATTTTCTGCCCTTCTGTCTTGATTTCATCTGACCATTTCACGTTTGACCCCTGACATTACATGGATGCAGCCTATTCAGTAAGGTTCAGCTGTAGCCTGTAGTACCCAAGCAGCAACCTCCGTAGCTGACAAGTGAAACCAACACGGAAACGGCCATTTGAGGCTGTCTCCAGAAGTGAGTCAATCTCCATAAGGCCCCATATTAAAATCCCCATTTATAAACATGATTACAACCAAGTACAAAAAACGGTTTTGTTCTCTATAGCTAATTTCCCCATTCGTGACAATTGTATGAGGGGTGGAGTTTTAGTTAACTCAACAGTTCAAATTATAAACCCTTTAAGGTACTACTCAACCATTTGGTAGTCACTATATTTAATTGAAAAATGCATCAAGCTTAACTCAACCTGAATGAGCCATCTCTACAGTTTGGTGTAGTTGTGCAATGCTAAAAAAATCCACTAGATGGCACCGTGTCTGTGAGCAGTATGCCTTTTCAGTGTTCCTTCAAACAGGAAGTGACACAGCGAAAATTCACTCGTCCTTTGATACATATCGGTGGGACTTTCAAAGGTAAGACTATTTTGTTGACACATATTGCCTCTACGAGTTCATCCTCTAAACCACGGTCCAAAAAGACAATGAGAATGGGGAAAAACTCCTTGAAAACAGTTTCTTTGGCAGAGCTACAGGACACACCTGAACCATCACCCCCAGGTGGAAAGGAAGGCAGAAGAAGATTATGGCGGCATGAAGACATTGAGACATTCCAGGTCCCAGACTCAAGTTTTAACCTCCCTGATGCTGTAAAGACACCCTTTCAGTATTTTAAACTGATGCTCGTCACAGATGAGATGATTACACATATCTCTGAGCAAACCAATCTCTATGCTGCCCAGGAGCTGGGAGATCCAATCAGCACCAGTCCTGAAGAGATTGAAAAAATCCTGGCAATGCTTCTCTTGTTAGTTGTACTGTACCTTAGTTAATTTATGCTGCTAACAAATGCTGCTACAATTTTTATCACTTTTACCACTGTTACCACTTTATCCAATCGCTCCTTATCACTATTTAGTTTGTACTTATTTTATTTCAATTCATGCTGCTAAACTGCACGGTGCGTATTGTTGTATATTGTATATACCTACGTTTAACTGCAATTTTAGATGCATTTTGTCACATTTAGTTACTTGTTTTCTTTTTTTCTACTTATGTTACCTGTAAGTGCTTGCATTTGTTGCATTTAGTTAATTGTTTGATTTATTTTATGTTGGCCTTTACTTTATTATTTATTTTATCTTATTTTAGGTTAGCTTATTTTTACTCTAACCCTGCATTACTTTCCCACCTTTGTATTGAAACTGTTGCACAGTAATTTCCCTCGGATAAATAAAGCTTCTTGAATCTTGAATCTTGAATCTTCATGGGTGTTGTCAGCTTCCCAGTCATCGATGACTACATTGAGTCACGGTTCAGTGTGATAGCCGATATTATGCCAAAGAAACACTGCTGCCTCTCAAAAGGTTCCGTCTGGCAGTCGCACACACTTTGGCTCAAGTCAACAAGCCAGCATCCAAAGTTGGCTGACCATCATCATCCTCTCCACCACAGATGTCGTCAAACAAAAAATCCAATACCCCAAGACCCTCCCACCCACAACCAGATGTACAATATGACAACTTCGGACATTTGCTACTTCACTCTAACAAGCGGGGGCGATGCAACCTCTGTCCAAAGGGAGTGTCGAGATGGAAATGCCAGAAATGTCATGTATTCCTGTGTATGAATGCAAAGCAGGAATGCTTTGCAGCATACCATCAGAAATGAGTGGCCAAAGGCAAAATAAGTGCTGTTGCACCGCTGCTGTTGCACAACAGGTCAAAAACCGTTTGTGCTGTTGCACGACCACCAAAACTCATTTGTGCTGTTGCATGACCACCAAAAAATATTTGTGAGTGAGTAATTTTGGTTAAGAAATTGCACTTAATGTGACTTGTTCTGAATGTTGTTCTTTTATTATGAACAGACTCAGTCTCAGCCGTTTGGTAGAGGACTGTATCTGAAATAGTGTAGGGTCTAATTTTAAAAAAAACTATTGATTGTTGTTATTGCTATCATAATTGAATAAAAAATGCAAAGAAATATTTTTTCCTTTGCTTTTTTTAAGGGTTGGCTTAAATTTCCTGTGTGATTTTAATATTTAACCCTAGATTGTAGCTGTTTCGTGTCTTGTGTTGTGCAATGAAGGTTTAATCTGTTAAACATATCTTGTGTGATTGATAATAATAAAAGTGTATTTATCCAAAAGTGGTCTGCAGGGTTAGGTAAAGATATAACAGGATGCAAACATTTCTGTAACTTCCTGTTTATTCTTTGAAGGCTACTAGAATCTATCAGGCTTTTTGTCACCGCCTCCTGCTGATGCTGCTGCTGCCGCCTAATTTCGTCCCCTTTCCAGGCGAGGCACTGTTAATGTATAACGAGCCTTGCGGCCCGTCTGGTCTTCCATACACCAGTGGCTGCCTCTCGTAAAGTTGCTGCGTCAATTTCAGCTTTAACTTTCACTTTTGATTTTCAGTCGTTGAACTGTCTGTTTTCTTTTGTCTCTTTTCTCACTTTACAATACTTCGACAGGAAAAAACACCAGCAACGAAATACAGAAGAGGTGGGTTTCTTGTTAGAATAGGCTGTACGTGACAGGCTTTATTTGTTTTATACTTTGTCAACCGGGTTTCGTTTTTGTCCGTCAGGTAATGGCTGACATCTACGGCAACCAGCAGATAAATCGCAAGGTAAGGATTATTTAACCGTCGCAAGAGTGATCTCGGTATATGGCGGTGAGGGACACAGTGATCCATGCTGGCTGGTAACAGAGCTACTCCTTATTGTCAGATGGACAGTGGTCTGAATAAGGAAGGCAGTCGACTTGAAGAGGCCATGAAAGAGCTGGAAATATGGAAGGTAAGAGGCACATTTCGAAATACTTACATAATGTCATCTCCGAACTGTCTCGTGAATAAGTTCAGATGGTTCAGTACTTTTGACCCGTTTTATTTCTGAATTAACATGAGTTCAAGCTGAGCTCTGCAGTTTGTACAAACGCGGAAATCTCAAAACATAACCTAGCAAAAAAAAAATACATTGCAGTGTTAATGTAAATTTCTGTTCAACAAGCTTCCTCACGAGTCACAGTCCCGTGAAAAGCAAGCATGGGATACAAGTAGGCCTACTCAGATTCTTTATTCAACAGTTTTAACTTATGTTCCAATTTACAGCAAAATAGACGATAAAGCAGTGTATGCTTTTGGACCTGGCTACCTTTTGATTGACGGGCCACAGCGCAGCGCACAAAACTTGGATCAAACTGTCAAACTAGGCAGTGCTGATCTAATTCGAAGCAAGATTCTGGTACTGCGTTGCCTATTTCTCACTTAAAATCGTTTTAGAAACATATTTTAGCGTATTGTTTCCTGCTACAGCCAAGTCAAAACTGTGTAGCCAATGAGCGCAGATCAACTCGCAGTACGTCATCCACGCTGCCAACTGTCATGGCGACGGCTAAAACAATACTCCACAAACTAATGGGTGACGTCACAATAGGTTGTTATTTGGTTTTTACTGTAATCAACTCGGTGTTTGTGATGTACAGAAGTGCATCTTCCTGTTGATGGTCTGCCAGGTGTCTGGCTAATAATTGCTGTAAATTTACTGTAAACAGTATACAGGACTTACTGTAAACTAACTACAACCAGGTACTGTACTTAATACAACATCCTTACTGTAATTAATTTCAATACAATCATGTAAATTTACTAGAACTTGCCATGAATTTCCTGTACTTTCACAGTATAGAATACTGTAAATATTACAGCAAAATGTTATATTTACGGCTACTCAGTGGCCAGGAATTTCCTGTAATTTTAGGGATTTCCTGTAATTTCACAGGATAGAATATTGAAAATATTACAATTAAATGTTGTAACTTGGATAAATGTCCTCCTTCAGATTTCTGCAAAGAAAAACAAAACAAGTGGTATTTCTGTTGTTTTTTGATATTTTTATTTTCTCTTAAAATTGAAGAGTTAACGGAGTGCACAATGCACAAACAATCATTCCTCATTATTTATGTCCCCTGTCCACTAATGTCCTGTAATGTCCCCTGCCCTCTAATGCCCCCTGTTCACTAATTTCCCCTGTCCACTAATGTCCTCTAATGCCCCCTGTCCACCAATTTAAAATCCAGCAATTTAAAATCCAGCAGTTTTCTCGAAAGTGTGCAAACTGGTGTGTTCAGCCCTCGTTTTTTCTCTGCCTTGCTGCCCGTCTGGGGATTTATGCCGCAAAAGGCTCTGAAAACAGGGGGAAAAAACCTTTCAGACAAAACTTTCATCTTGTTGGATAGCTGCACGTTGTTATAGCTAGCGAACACAAGTCCCGCCCTACTCTGCTTCTGATTGGCTGAACACGTTTTTTTTTTTTTTTTAAGTGAGAGCTGCCATTGGTTTTGGGGAACTCAAAAATGATAAACCATCCCGAATTTCTATCCTAATGAAAATTTCTTCACAACCATGTCATGCTGGAGATCTGGCACGGTGCTGGAATAGTTCAACCCCTGAGTGTGTGTCTGTGTTTGAGTGAGTGTCTGTGTGTGCGATCGTCATCCCTCTCTCCCCCTCCCCTCTCCTCTCTCATGCCTCTCCTCACTCATCCCTTTCTCACTAAATTGGATAGCATAATTTGAGTTTTCTCTTATACTTGCAAAGTAATGTGTAAAATCTGATCACTCAAAATGCAAAGTAATATGTTTTTGTATTAAGTGGGCCGGGCCAACTTACTGACATCCCTAATTCTAACAAAAATGTCAATTACAGAAAAGTCATAAACATTGATTAAGATCCCTTCATATATCAAGTCATTGCTATGATTGTTTTCATGACAGTGCCATGTTTAAACACACCTCTGGATGAACTCAAGTGTGCTTGCGGCTTCTGCCGGATATTGCAAGTTGAAGACATAGTAGGCAGCGAAGACTGCTGCCAATCCATGCAGGAGGTTGCTGTGGGGCCCCATCACACATGCTCCTTCCATGGACATAATCCACGTGTCTGCGCCACGCAGTATCTCTCCTGAAACCCATTAACAATATCATAACTAAAAGCTACACAACACATTAGAGCCACCTAACACTAGAGCCACCTAACATGAATTTAAGTGGAGAAAGACTTGCACACCTCCACTTGAACATTATGATCTCCTTTGACCACCGCACCCTCCATCAACAACTCAAACAAAAACACATTTTTTTGGAGCAACAGTCCTCCCTCAACCACATGAATTCTTTAAAGAATTAACTTCTACAAAATAAGGGAAGATTATACCTGGTACAACTAATTGAGGTGTGCTTGGCAGGGTGACAGCTCTCTCGATATCGGCAGCCGTGGCAGAGGGCTGGAGAGTAAAAACCATAAGTTAACCATGGGTAAGTTGAGTGAACAAGGACAAAGAAAACTTGCCCCAAAAGCTGTCATGTTCTACTCAACACCATGGGGGAAATCAGCTTCAGTTTATGGTGCCAAATGTAGAAACAGCTGCACATGGCAAATATTTTTTTTAAATATGGCAATAAAACATTAAATTAAAATTATTTTATGAACTACATGGCAGGAAGCAATGGCTAACCCATCAGAGTCTAGCCTGGATCAGACCACTGACTCTGTCCACTTCACTGAGTAGGCTCCGTCTCGGGTCTGGATTCCCCATTCAGAGCAACGAGGACAGCCAGACCGGGAGAATGTTAGCCCAATGAGCGCTGGGGGTGGATGGGACTAAAAGTGATGAACCAATCAGCCGAGGGCCCCTTTTCAAGCAATGTCTGCCTATGCGCTGACTGCCTCGGAGATCGGAGAATATCGATAGTGTGATTGAGGCAGTTTTAGTAAAAAACACACAGTTTACTGGAATAACTGCTCTGAAACCAGAACAGTATTCTGCATGGAGAGTTTTTTTAGAAGGAACGAGGTTTTGGCTCTTCTCCGAACTGGCAATGGGAAAAGTTATTTTTTGAAAAGGTATCTAAAGCCCTCCCCCTTTGTAAACGCTTTGAATGAGACGGGTGTCTTATACTCAGGCTAATCAGAGTTTATGAAGTATTAGAATAACTTGTGCAAAGTGTCCATAGCAAAGGATGGGGCTGGTGACTGATTTCTGGTAATTAACAATTACAAAATAACAGGACAGGGATGGGAGGGAGGGAGTGAGTGAGGGAATGGTTAATTTATGTATATGCACTGCAAGTTATACTCACATCAGCTGTAAGGAAGATACCATCCCCCTCCTTGAAGTGAGCAAGCAGGCACATGATGGTGCAGATAGCTTTGTTGCCACTCTCTTCATTGTAGGCTTCCAGAACCTTCCCCACCCCTGGTGTCTTCTGCTGTTGGAAGTATTCCATGATGTTCTGACTCCTGTTGTCTATGGTGGCTGGCAGTCAAAATTTGGATGCATCAATACTTAAAAATAAAATATAAGTTTGTGCCTCAAGATGCCTAGATAATAATTAATAATTAATGATAATTAATTTCCACTATTCCCTTACAGCCCCGGCATCCTACACGCACCTAGGAATTCCAGATCATAGACAGGCTTCTCGCTGCATCACTTTGAAAACGAGGCTGAGGTTAACATGGCCGCAGCGTGAATAAGGCAAATCGGTCCAACAAAGTGGCATTCAGCGAAGACAGTGGCTGATGTTTATGTCATACCAATAATGTACAAAACGTAGCCTACCCAGCCCATTCTATTCCATTTATTATTGTTTTAATTTATATTTTTAACGTGTCCAATCTTATAACAAAATCTGAGCAAAAACAAAAACAAACCATTTCCAGGCCATGGTGTGCGTGGTGAGGGCACAGCTATTGGGTTTGACGCTCGAGGTGTCTCAGGTGAGGAGAGTTGTGGACTTCCTGCGGGGGACAGGGTTGAGGAGAGTTGTGGAGAGCCGGGAGGAGACAGGGCTGAGAAGGAATCTGAAAAAATATTTACCATTAGACCCCTATGATCCAGACATACTATGGTGTATTTAAACACCAATCATATTTTCTATAAAACAAAACCATTTGGCCATTTTTCATTTATTTCAAACTTTTTGTTGTGGTAGCCCCAAAAAACAACTGTAGAAAGCCACCTGACAGCCAAGGTCACATCATGTGACGCTTCAAAAAAAAGGTGATTGGTGACCAGGATGGGAATTCCATTTGGCTGATGTGCGTGATATGTTGCAACTTTCAGGGCACAAAACGAAAGTGGATTTCACAATCTGCCAAACACATCAGTTAATACATCATACCACAATCATACCGTATAAAAAAATCACACCATCACCACAATCATATTGGAATACTTACACAATCCTAAATTCAAAGAACACATTAAGCTACATAACACAAAGCACACTCAGGGCATAGTTCATGAAATAGGCTAGTAAGGCTACATAATCAATTCATTTTTACCGGCTATGATGGGGTGGCTATGGCAGAGAGGCTATGATGGTGGAGCAATGATGGGAGTGGCACGATAAAAGCAGTCTACAGATCGCATAGTTAAGAGATTAGGGGTGCGTTCATAAATTAACTGAGCGCAGTTTCCGAACCGTCAAGAGTGTAGCACAGCGTGCTCGGAGTGAATTTACGAGTTCAACTGTGAACGTTTCGATGTGTAGCCTAATATACATAGAATTAAAAACAGTTAAATCATTAAAGAGGACGAAGGATAAAAGTGCCTAGTGTCCTGGTAGACACACCATGCAGACGACCACCCCCATCCCGGGAACCGCCCATAGAACCCGAACCACCCAACCTACGGTTACCTTGAGATGAAAAGGCATGGAAGAGCTTTCTAGACTGGACCACACGGAGAAAGGGCAGAATATTCTCTGTCTGCGGGGAGGTCTGGAAGTACTGCCAAGACAGCCCTCCTGAGCTCCTCCTCTGCTGCAGCCATGTCTCTGCAAAGGAGTGATGGAGACAGATCATTGTAATGTCACACATTGTGTAGGCTGGCAAAGGATAATAATCCAGTAGATCATCATGCCTCATGCAAACAAAGTGCTCTTGGGGTGTCCCCAAAACACTATAGACCCCAATGTCCCTCAACTTAACAAAACAATATTTTTCTGAGACAAAGGACACAGAGCCATGGTGCACAATGACCAGCTCTATCTTGCCAACCTCCAACTCTTCTTCAGTTTTCCCCAGCAAAATATACGTGCCCTTTTTGTATGATGTGTCCTTCACCGTCACTGTGTGAGATGCTACTGTATCTTTAGATTCAAAATGCAAACCAACAACAGCCTCTCGGATTTTGTCGCTGTAGTCATTTACATAGAATGTCATCTCTTTATCCAGTAACCCACTCGGCTGAAACATTTCACCTGCACTCAAGTATGCCTGGAAGAGCTGATGTCTCTCTGCGACTGTCTTGCAGATGTTCTTGAAATTATGTAACTTCCTAGCACATCTTTTGAAGAATGTGTGCTTACTCTCAAACCAGAGAGTCCAAAAGCAAATTAGGGGACCAAAGTGGGTAATGAGCTCTGGATAATGAAGTAAATAGTGGTGTTTGGGCTTCAGGGGCTCATTGGGAAAGAGCTGCCTTTGAAAGTAGATATACTCCTCGATAAGTATTTTAAGATAAGAAACCTGATCTCTAGTGATTGCTGGTGCACAAATGAGCTCTACAATTTCTCTGAGCTGCAGCACAAGTTGCCAGGCAGCATTCTCACATGGATTGCTAATCCTATCTCCTATCAGGAGAGGGAGCAAATGCAGGAAGCACCAGTTCTGGACTGCATGTCCACTAAGTCTTTTGCTACCTGGTGAAACATCGGCTGGTTTGTCCTGGGCATCGTTTCCCTTATAGTTGAACTGATCTTTGCACCTGTTGAGTTGTGTATAGCTGAAATGTTTCTCCTCAACGAGATGACCAATCAACAAACTAAGGTTACAGGAAACAATCCCTTCAAACAGGTCATGGCCAAGACATGGGGGTAATCCAGGCTGGCAAACATGAAAGAAGGACAGTTGGTTAAAAGGAGAGTTTGACTTGATACCACATTCAGAATTTGTACCACTGTTTTCTAATTCTTGTAGATGATTCAGAAAAGACTGTTCTGTATGCTTGTTGCCACATAATAATGGAGAACTCTCAAAACTTGATCTTTTTATTTCACAATACCTGCAGAAGTAATGTCTCACACTAAAGTTCTCAACAAATCCGCCAATACTGTGAGACTCTAAATTGTCACCCGAAATAGCACACAGTCGACCTCTGACAATTTGGCCATTATTTATCTCGATGCCAGTCTCCTCAAGAGCGTTCAGGTCTTTAATGAGGGCTCAAATACCTTTTCCAAATACCTTTTCCATCCCAAATATTTGAAGTCCTGCTCCTTACACAAGAGAACAAGCTGCATTTGATCTATGGATGATCTGTTATGAGGCAAAATATCTGTTAGAGTGAGATAAACTGCTAGAATCTTGGTGTTTCTTTTTGGAAGGACCAAGTGGATTAACCACTTCAAATGCATCCTGATAAGACCAAGAGAAGATGGCTCCGCTTTAAATAAAGGGTTGCACTGAGCTCCCTTCCCATCATTTACATCCTGGAAAATACCCTCTGATGGTGGTTGGGAACGTGTTGCTGCATACTGTTCCTGCATGGACTTGCTTTTTAAAAGTGCAGCCAATGTTTCTTTAATAGGCACATACTGGACAAACGATTCCTTACCTTTTTCATTGATACCTAATAACTGAGGCACCGGCTCAACATAATTAAAATGAAAACAAAGATGCCAAACAACAGCAAAACGGACAAAAAACAAGATAGAAATATATAAGATAATGTTATAAAATCTATTATTGATATAGGCTTTAAAAGTTATAAGATGATAGCAAACATACAAGCTACCTTTTTAAGCTAACAGCTAACTAACCAACTAGCACTGACAGGAGGCAGACGTGACGTTCTTCTCAGAAGTCAAGAGCGCAATGAAAATCTTTCCACAGAACACCAGACTTTCAGCAAGCGAAGTTGAGAAGAGACCTTTTTACGACAAGCACTTGGAACCAATTTTTCTAAAATGCACATGCGCAGTTCAGTTCAGATTTGACACCTTAGCTAGACAGTCGAGCTAGCTAGCCAATCCATTCAAACAGTGAAAGAACCATGTTGATGTTACTTGAGGAAGATTAAAAATGGCCTCAACTTGTGATGAACAAGCTAGCTAATGTTAGCAACTACCGGTACAAACCTGATTTCAATGGACTGATGGAGGAAGAGACGCGTTAGCTAACGTTAGCTACCTTATCGTAAAAACACCTATTTCCTTCTAAATTAGCTATGTACCACAAATGACATTTTACCGTGATTCAAAGAGCTGTAGACAGTGTTGTAAGGCTGCGTGTACAAATCCGCTTGGAGCTCCAGTGGAATTTTGATTTCTCAGTCTAACCGTTGATGTGCCGAGTGAGTGGGCGGAAACCAGCCCAGCACGAAACTCCGAGCACGGCAAACAAAATTGGATTTAGTAAAGTAAATGCTCCCGTTAAAAACCAAACCCGATTTTGTTCAAATCTACACACCTATGGCTACTGGAAAATTTTACGATACCAATTTAGCTAAACCACAAGGGGACAGCTGACTTTATGTTAGCTAATCAAAGCAGACGAAACCGTTTACATTACATTACATTACGTTAAGTTACCTTCGTCCCAGAATCATCTTTTTTCTTCTTTTAATGTTTACTTCGTCCCAGAATGTTCGTTAATAACCGCCTTCAAATTCAAAATTCAGACCGCAGCAATCCCATGATGCAACGCGGTGGCTGTAAAACCAGTGTAAAACTCCGCTTGTACAGTGTAGTTACAATAATAATACAGGACTGTCCATAAATTTCCCATGATGCATTGCCACTTGCAGTAAAAACACAAATACAATACATTGTTGTAAGATTTACTGAAGAAATTACATCAATTGCTAACAGTGTATATTTAGTGTGCCTGAAAAGCACACTACTATTATTCCTCATACTTATTAGTGTGCCTGAAAAGCACGGTCGACTACTCCTACCGCAGTTTTGGTCGCACATACACAAAAAGGTACCAAAATGTGCGGCCTGGTGGGGACATTAGTGCTATGACTTTTCTAAGCGTTTCGCCAAACAGTTTGCCGATAAATCGCCAAAAACATGAATGGGTGTGTATTGGTAGAGTGCTCGCAACTAGAGTGCGTGACATTATCACTAGAATGTAGGGAGAGAGAAATTTGTCGAAAAATAAATTTGTTAACTGCTCTCAAGGCCACAAATGTCACTGTACAGAAATAATTTCTAGATAGAAACGTAGGAAAATCCGATGGGGTTGCAGTGATAACATTGCTGAAGCTGGCAGACAAATAGTTTTGGCGGGAAACGCACTGATGCGCCAGCACACCCTCTCACGGCCCCATCTACTCCGATGTAAATTGGACAGGAGAAATTTTGAAAGGAGCTCGTTGAGGTTGAGACTTCTGCAGCCACAGCACAATGGCATCTGGTATGTTATTTTGGTAATCCACCACTATCATCTGGAACTGGAACTACTGTCTCCTGTAAGAAACTGTCCACAGGTCCAGCTGTAGTCTTTCTTAACTTTTCCTGCTATGTCTTTCAGGCTAAAGTAGAGAAAGCTGATGATGTGAAAGCCAGGCTGATATTGGAAAAACTGGAACAAGATGAAGCCAAGTCACAGGCCCAGCAAGAGATGTTTGCTTGTGTCACAAAGCAAGAGGAGAGTCAGAAGGAATACACTAAAAGCATGAATGCACTGCAGGTACAGTTGTCTCTCTAACTAGGGGTGTCCTGATCTGATCTCAGCAGTCAGTGTTGATGCTTATGAAGGCGTTTTTTACTGATCAGTATCGAGTATATTTAGCTTCACTGACCCAATCCTATCTTGTGCCTTATGTCAGCTGTCACACAGCTGTTTTTGCTCACAAAGCTTTCAGGCACGGTGCATGCTGTCTCTTTTCCTCCACTCTGCTCTGTGTGTGAGAGAGCAGGGGCAGCACCGCTTTTCACCTCAGGCAGGGCTGCCTCTGTGGTAGAGTGATAGAAATTCAGCACAACCACACTTAGCATGCCACTGCAAGTGCAACAAAAGCCCTGTCAATAAAAAGCCAATAAGTCAATTTATTAATGTAATTCATGCAATAGATATACAGACGACGGATATAAACACCCAGCAAAATCCAGTTCATTCAGGTAACTCAAGCAAAGGCTCCACTGAAGCTACAAACATTTGAGAGAGACAAAAAGATTATAGAGATGTTTGTTAAAAAAAAAAGCAAAAAGGGACAGCTTCAATGCAGGAATTTTCAAATTTGCAATGTAGAGCTATTTAATTGTGAGGCATGAACATTGGATTAACATAATATCCTTGAAGTGTGCACTCTGCATTGTATTATCTAAATAATGAATAGGTAAAAGTATTGGTTTGGGACTTGGTATACTTCTATACTCAAGATTAAATGACTCGGATGGGATTGGGGGCAAAAACACTTGATCGGGACTGCCCTATCTATAACATCTGCAGGCTAAGATTGGAATAACAAGGAACTCACTAAATTTTTTCACTTCATTCTTTCACACAGGAGAAAATCCTGAAGCTTGGTAAACGCAAACAGGATTTGCTGGACCAACTGAGGAGATATCAAGATGAATTGGAGGCGAAGAGGGCCGAGTCCACCAAACTGAAGCAGAAATTCAAGGTGGGAACGAAGCCCAAGTAGACCCCTCTAAGTCCCACCCCTTTTTGCTCTCAATAATATTTGAGCAACCGGAGGAATGTAGAAATTTGAACGAGGTTCTGATCTGCCGTCTGAATAAAACTGCTTTGGATCAGTAAGTGACGCCACCGCCATACACAAACATGAAGCATTTCCGTAGTATGGTGGAATGACATCACTATGTCGTCTGCTTTAGGGGAATACAGACATGCAAGCCTATGTTAACTTGTAGTCTCAGTTTCCAAGAATACACATTAAGGTGATTCCTGAATAACATAGCTGTCGCCAATCAGACGAATCATTACAATTCAGTGCGGTCTACACCAGCTAGCAACCTGTTAACAGCCTACCAAGCTCGCTAAAATTTTGGCTGTTGGCATAAAATGAATAAAATACCACCAAACTAAATATACAGTAGCCTATATAAACAAGGGTAGGCCTACACCAAAAATGCAACTGAAAACCAAAGAAGAGTGGTCAGTCAAAAATAGATTGGTTACAGCAGCCCCTTGACATAAATCAAAATACAAAAACGTAAATACAAATACAATTAAAGGAAGTATATACCCAACACTAACTATGCACCAAGACAAATTCCTTGTAGGTGTAAAAACTCAATAAATCTAATTCTGATTCTGAAGCAGACTACATTTTTTTTTTTTTTAATTGCTGAGTATATCATGCAAGTCAGGTGCGTGTTTTTCTGACTGACTGTTTTACTGGTCACTGAAATAGCATTGACTTGGAAGGAAGTTGCTTCAGTGTATAAATAAAAAAAAAAACAACTTTAAAGTAGTTTAACTACGTTTGTTATGATGCTGTAACTTAGCTTGTAGCTTCATTTAATGTATTGCATGGATCTCAAAATGCATCCAGGGGCCCGTTTCTGCAGCATGATGTCAAAAATATAACGTAATCTGGCCTGAGATTTTTATTTTTCCTAGTTGTTTTTCATTACTTTAAACCCCCTCATATATGGTTAAAATAAAAACACAATTCTGTTTTTTTTAAATGTATTTAGTTTGGCCAAAATAACGGCAAATGTTTGATAAGAAGAGAGTACGTTTAAGGCCTTCATTTGTTGTTTGGCTGAAAACAAGAAAGATGATATGAAATGATGATTTGAAGATGCAGATGCTGTCTGTTTATTGCATAAAAGTATGATGTTAATAATGGATATATTGTCAGAATATTGCGCTTTGTTTTAGTACTTGAATGTTGAAGTGGCCTGGCTATGAGATGACAACCCCAGTGGCCCCAAGGACGATTTGAGTTTGAGAGCCCTGATTTACACTAACTGGTAGCTCAGTTCATTACACTTTCCAAGAGGCCTTTCTAACACATATAATTATTGTTCTGTAATTCAGTTTGTTCCTCCACCTGTCCAGATCTACGTCCAGATTCCAGACACAGAGGTGAAGTTCATAGCTGAGAATAAAGGGGAGACGGGGGATGACTGTCAGCCAATCAGAGGAGTTTTTGCCATCCATCAGAGACCCACTGTGCTTCTGCAAGGAGGACAGGCACTTATCACGTTTGAAGAGGAGAAAGGTACACATGACTTTATCTACCCTACAATATGATAAGTAACTAAGTTTCTTTACTTTTCTTTCCATATTAATTTTACCAAAAAGAATTATTCTTAACACTACTATAACACAGTCACTAGTAGCAGTAGTTTAAATTAAATTTGAAATATGTGTTTATGACTTCTGGGTGGTATGGTAGAGCAGCATGACTCCCTTATGCCAACATAATAAACTTGCCAAAACTTGAGAATGAAGGACCTTTGATAATGATCGGAGGTTCAACAAAAACAAAGAGCAAAGAAACCCTGGACAATCTTAAGGAATACGTCATGCAACACAACTTTAACCACTTATATACTGGGTAAAATGCCAATTATGTAGCTTGATGGAAAGAGTTCATAATTCACACAAGTACTGGGGAAAGAGAGACTCACGCCCATATAAAAGATGAGGTAAACCTAGACCCAATAACATCATTTACTCTAGATACATGGTACTCTACTGTAAACCAACTAAAATTGGTAAGGGAGCCTGAACTGTTAGAATGGATTGCTTTTGATCATAAATTTAAACCAGGAAGGTCTGATTTCAGATTTAAACAATGTGTGGGAATGGGTATCACAACCATATGCACAGTTGCTGAAAAGAGTGAAATGAGAAGCTTTCAGGATAAAAAAAAAAAACAAGATGATGATCTAACAAATCAGGATTTATTACGATATTTACAAATAAGGGATTATAATAACAAAAGAGGGCGAATAACATCCTCTCATAATACACCAGACATAACACAATTGCAGAGATGGAGAGAATTTATTTTGAAGAATCAAATTTGGTATTCGATCACACCCAAAATTAAAAGTAAACAAAGATAAAGTTTAAAAAATGATTGTTGTTGTTGTGAAAGCAAGACCATCAAAATACCATGTATTCACATTTCACAAAATACTGAATTTCAACTTAAACTGGACATTAGGGCCAAAAATATGAAAATGTTGAAGTCAATAATTCATTTAAAGATTTAAAATACCAGTGTGTAGCATTTAGTGGCATGTCGCCAATTGCCTGCTTCACCCTCCCTCTTTTTCCCTGCACAACCAAGGGTTTTATGTGATTATACACTAATGAAAACTTACCTATGAATATTATACTCCTTTTCTGTATAATAACAGTCACAAATTTTATGTATTCTTTATACATACATACATACATACATACATACACTTTACTCATATGCACAACATACAAGTAACTCTTAACAGCAAATTTATACATCAGTTAAAGTACTTACAAATCTTTTCTATTATAAAACTACGCTGGCATTTCGGAAATATGAAATAGCACCACACTTACACGGTAGCATAATGAGGGCCCCTACGTATAAAGCGAAGCATTGAGAAATTTTTAAGTGTACAGACAGTTTATTAAAAAGATAATTTAGAACAACAGTAGCGTTCGCGTATACCCAAGAGACGCAGTGTTTTGTACAGTCAGTACAGATTTCCCCTCTCTGATAAACAGAGCTGTACTCAAAACTTTTTTCCATGTCCCGAAAATAAATTGGAGGCAGCGACTCATACCGCAGGGACCTGATGGACAGTTATCCACGGTCATGAATGACCTAATGGTGCGTTCGTTTTGTCTTGTAATCGCGACTTGCAGCTCGAGAGCGACGTCACATCCGTGTTTGAAAACGAGTAACCGCAGGTTTTTGCGTTCTGTTTGGCACACAACACGACGAGCTTGGTTGCAATAGGCAGTTTGGACGTTTCGTAACGTTTATAGTTATTATCTGGTTTACGGGGCACCCACCGAGGATTTCACATGTTCATTGCATATTACACAATCATATTTCACAGTTTGATATCTGAATTTTGATTAACGTTATGCTACTGCTCTGCTTTCTGCTCCAGACTCGGCACTGTTGTCATAGCAACATGGAGCGTCTCTAGCCAATTTCAGTTGCACAAGCTACAAAATAACTAATTAGGCGTATTTAACACATAATAAGACTGTAGCGACATGCCTATAGGTAACAGTATACAGTGCTGTGTGTACGACTTCTTCATTTGGTTACAACAAAGACAAGAGTGCTTAAAATAGTAGAAAACCACAATGTTTACTACGTGTGATGCTCGGAGTAGCCATCTTGGTAACTGAACTCGGGGTCCTCTGAGCTCAGACGACTTAACGAGTCGTTTATACGTCCTCGGGAGCTTTCTATTTGCAACTTCCGGTTCGTAACTCAGGAAACCGACTCGGAGATCGAGTCGGGTGGACAAAACGAACGCACCATAACCCCTGACTGTTTTCCCAAGATAGTGCCCGCTTATATACGCGAACGCTACTGTTGTTCTAAACTATCTTTTTAATAAACTGTCTGTACACCTACAAAGTTCTCAAGGCTTCGGTTTATACGTAGGGACCCTCATTTTGCTACCGTGTAAGTGTGGTGCTATTTTGAGTCTTGTTAGTGGTATAAAAAGCTATTTCTTTTCACGTTACTCGGTGCCCCGTTGGCTAGCATTATAAGCTAATTAGCGGTTTGTGCTAAAACCGGTCACGGTCGATTAGCATGAAAACACATCCCAGAGAACGGACCAACTCAGTACACGTGTTATTAACCCCAGGTTAATTTTGCGCCGGAATTGTCCTTTAATGTAGCTATTCAGTCAGCAGGGGGTGGTCCAGTATTGGACATGTTTCAAAAGACAGAAATGACTGGAACAGTAACTGGGAGACCAGGTGCTTAATATCATTTGTTGTACCACTACTGTATCTTATACCAGTCCGAATAAGATACAGTAGTGGTATGTAAACAATGCCTTAGTACTTTGAATGTACATGCAGTTTCTTACTCATATCTTCTGTCCTCCAGTGGCCTCTCAGATCCTGAAGATTGCCAAGTGCTCTGTGCCCTGTGACAACATCAGTGTGGATGTGAAACCAAAAAGAATAAAACTGGATCCTGCTGTTAAGTTTGAGGTACACTTTGATGCAGTGATGGTGGTTTTCAACTTTTAGGCCATGACAAGTAGTGCAGCACATCAACACACACAGACACACACACACACACACGCACACACAAGCCTTACTTATTGGCCATTAAAAACATTTGAAACCTGTAGGCTACATTTGAGGAAATAATAGTTAAAGGATCAGATAGTCAGCCAATCAGAGTAGTGTTTTCCATTAACAGAACTTATTTTTTTCCATTTTTATTTTAATATTAACAAAATCAGTAATAATAAGTCTTAACAGTTTGTTTCCAGGGACAACACAAGAATATTTAATTAGTATTTCCTCACGTATAGCGTTCATTTTACAGAAGTATAGTATTGCACACCCAAATTTGTTTGAAATTTGTTGAGCAGCAGAGCACACAGTCCATTTGTTATGTGTTAGTTCTATTGCTCTCCACATTTGCATGAAACGTGTCCTTATAGTGTATTAAGATTATCATTCTAAGGCTGAATTCAGTTCCATTATTCCTAGCATCAATACTTACAGAACAATGGTGCTGTATTACCCAGTTATTCGGTTACACAATGTATTGAAACATATTATGTAAGTATGTATGTAAAGTATTCTTTGTGGTGGCCATCAGACTCCCTTGTAATCAGTGTGTGCTGTCATTAATGTAGGTCCACCTTGACGTTTCCAGAAAGGCGCTCAAGGTTTCCAGCATCCCCTCTTCCATGCCAGAGGAGAGAATGAAGGACCAACTGGTGATTAGTTTCTGCAGGCCCAGCAGAGGAGGAGGAGAAGTGGAGAGTGTGGAGTACGATCAGAACACTGGGACGGGACAGATCACCTTTCTCCACCCTGGAGGTACAATTCTGGGCTACATTTACCAAGACAACGGGGTAGTGTAAATGTGTCCTGCAATTCTTAGTGAATTTGCAGACACACTCTGTGCATTTAGTTCTGGATTTACACAGAGAGAGAGAGCGAGAGCAACAACAACTACACTAATAGTAGTGACTGATGATGAACACGAAGATGATGGTGGCGATGACAAAAACGATGGGCAACGAGCAGCAACCGTAGCAACAATAATAGTTATAATAATAAAAATAATAATGGTCGAAATTCAATGCAACGCCGCGGGCACGCCATTTGACAGAAAGTTGTAAATAGCACAACTTTTAATCATGAATGTCTTTTGATTGCGCTGATTAAATTTGAAGTTGATCCGATAAATTCCCTAAGAGGAGTTTGTTCAAATACAGGGCAAAAATTCACAGAAAATTAGCACAGAATTCAAAATGGCTGACTTTGATGCCATGCCACGGACACGCCGTTTGATGGAATGTCGTAAATAGCACAACCTTTAATCAGCACCATTTTTTGACTGAACTGACAAATTTTGAAGCAGATCGGATAAATTCCCTAGGAGGAGGAGTTCAAATAAAATGCAAAAAGTTCGCCGAAAGTGAAAATCAAAATCAAAATGGCCGACTTCCCGTGGGGTTTGGGGTATGGGTCCAAGAGGCTTTTTTGTACCTCTCGACATGTTACACGTGCCTACCAAGTTTAATACATATCTGCCATTGGCAAGCATCGTACCAAGTTTCATTTAAATCACACTTGCCGATGCGGAGATATAAACTTCTTCATTTTAAACAGCGCCACCTTGTGGCGATGGCCTGAAATTGTGCACAATGCCTAAGGAAGACATGGGGAACTATGGACCCAAGCTTGGTGTCAATCGGACATACCAATGTGGAGAAACGGTGCACTTCCTTTTTGACGAAAAATTTACAAGAAGTGCTAATTTTATAACGTGCTTATTTTTTGAAATATCAGGGCGGTCCCCAGGTGCTACGTGAAAAATGACGTGCGAATCGGACAAAGCGTGTAGGAAGAACACGAAAAAGTAGTTTAAGGCCATTTCGCGCTCAAGCGAAGAAAAAATATAGGCAGAAGTGGGCGTGGCCTATATGGCGAGATTCAGCTCCATTCACCAAACGCTTGGATACAAACATTTTTGAATGTGCGACAAATGATGCAGGAGTTATTAGCCTAAACGCACTTTTCATGATAGTAGCGCCACCTAGTGGCGGACCCGAAAGTGACGCATAGAATATAACATTTTTCACCAGGCCTGACCTTAATATAAATTAATAATAATAAAATTGAGTTTTCGTATATGTTCAGGGGGGCAAAATATAGTATTACCTACTATTATTATTTTTAGCGCCTTTGACTGCATAGCAAAAACAATAGGGACCTCCAGCTGTTGCTGGCTCGGTCCCTAATTATATTTCAGTAATATTAGCAATGAGAGTCAAGCAGGACCATGGCAGGAGGCTCCACCAGGATCTATGAGAACCTGTGAGACGAGAAAGCACAAGAACTCCGGGAAAGAAGTGAAGTTAGTAACATGCATTAATGGGACATGAATGAGTGCAGAAAGAGAGGGAGAGGAAGAGAGGAGCTCAGTGTATCATGGGAAATCACCCCATAGTCTAGGCCTATAGCAGCATAACTAAGGGATGGTTCAGGACTCACCTTAGCCAACCCTAACTATAAGCTTTATCAAAGAGGAACGTCTTAAGCTACTTAAGCCTACTCTTAAATGTGAAGGGTTAGGGTTAGGGTCTGCCTCCCGAACCACAACTGGAAGCTGGTTCCACAGGAGAGGAGCTTTGTAACTGAAGGCTCTGGCTGCTGTTCTACTTTTAGAGACTATGGGAACCACAAGTAGCCCTGCATTCAGAGAACGCAGTGTTCTATGGATGGTAAATGGTAAATGGACCTGTACTTGTATAGCGCCTTTCTAGTCTTCCGACCACTCAAAGTGCCACATTCACCCTTTCACACACATTCACTCAGTGATGGCAAAGTCCATCGAACAGAAACTAACATTCATACACACTCACACACCGATGCACGGCATCAGGAGCAACTTGGGGTTCAGTATCTTGCTCAAGGATACTTCGATATGTGGCACCAGGAGCCGTGGATCGAACCCACAACCTTCCAATTAAGGAATGACCCGCTCTGCCTCTGAGCCACAGCCGGCCCTTCTAGTGGGGTAATAGGGTACTATGAGCTCTTTAAGATATGAAGGGGCCTGACCATGAAGAGCTTTGTAGGTGAGGAGGAGGATTTTAAATTGTATTCTAAATTTTAAAGGGAGCCAGTGCAGAGACGCTAGTACAGGAAAGATATGATCTCTTTTCCTAGATCCTGTCAGTACTCATGCTGCAGCGTTCTGGATTAATTGGAGCGTCTTAATGGATTTATTGGGGCAGCCTGATAATAAGGAATTGCAGTAATCCAGCCTAGAAGTAACAAATGCATGAATTAGTCCTAGAGGCTTGTTTTATGTGGGAATTAAATGACATGTCCTGATCAAAGATAACTCCAAGATTCCTGACAGTGGTGCTAGAGGCCAAGGTAATGCCATCTAGAATAACTATATGTTTAACATCAGAAAATTGCAGCTCATCCAGGTTTTTATGTCCTTAATTTCATCGGGCTTGATCGACAGGTATAACTGTGTATCATCTGCATAACAATGAAAGTTAATGGAGTGATTCCTAATAATGTTGCCTAAGGGAAGCATATATGAAGTGAATAGAATTGGTCCAAGTACAGAACCTTGTGGAACTCCATGACTAACTGTAGTATTTATGGAAGATTCATCGTTAACGTGTACAAACTGAGAACGATCTGATAAATATGACCTAAACAAGCTTAGTGCGGTTCCTTTAATTCCAATTTAATGCTCAAGTCTCTGTAAAAGAATATTATGGGCAATGGTGTGAAATGCAGCACTAAGATCTAATAATACAAGTACAGAGACAAGTCCATTGTCGGAAGCAATCAAAAGGTCATTATTAACTTTAACCAGAGCTGTCTCTGTGCTGTGATGAACTCTAAATCCTGACTGAAAATCCTCAAATAAGCTGTTGCTATGTAGAAAGTCAAACAACTGCTTGGCGACTACTTTCTCCAGAATTTTAGAGAGGAAGGGGATGTTAGAAATCGGTCTATAGTTGGCTAAAACAAGAGTGGGCTTTTTAAGAATTACAGCTACGATTCTGTAGATATAAAAGGCTCATTCTATGGTAACAAAAACATTCAAAATTCTATTCAGGTGATTATACGCTGATGGTGATGTTAAATGCTAAGAATTAGGGTGTTTTTTCCTCCAAAATATTTTAGTTTCTTCTTAGAAAGATTACCACAATTCAGAACAAGCTGAATCATTCATGTCTTAGTAAAACCCAACCCAAGTATCAGTATGTTCATAATGTATTAATACTATAGTTTCTGTGTGTGTGTGTGTGTGTGTGTGTGTGTGTGTGTGTGTGTGTGTGTGTGTGTGTGTGTGTGTAGTTGCTGAGAGCCTGGCCCTGATAGGGAGGTACCGTGTTGATGTGGACTCTGAAGTGAATGTTGGACCCATTTACAAATACCAGCTGTGCAAGTTTCAGGTAAGATACTAGTATATCATGGTCTGCATTCCTCTCCTACCGTTTTTCCTAGATAATACACCTGATCAGTTCCACATTAAGCTAGGTGTGGAACGGTTCATATCACGGTTTTGGGGTCATGGTTTTCAGTTATTTTTTTCGTCACTGTCATAGGTAACACTGGCTGTGTAATGCTCCTGTGATGTCCTGACCTACCTCATAGCATATCATATTATATTATATTGTCTCCTGGGCCTGTACAATATAACTGTGCAATTTACAATGCAATTTACACTTCTATATAGGGTTTTGTGCAATTTACAATGCCCTCACTTTCCCTTTTATATAGGGTTTTATGCACTTTCTTTTTATTTCTAGAGAAGTGTATGTTTTGTAGATTTATGTGTCTTTCTTGTGTGTCTTTTTAACTTGACTTGACTCTCTGAACAAAAAACCGCACAAGAGTTCCTATGTGTGCAAGCACAAATGGCAAATAAAGTTCTTGAATCTTGAATCTGGAATCCCATACTGCAAACCAAAACAGTGTTACAATTTCCTAGACTGACTGACAGCTGCACAGAAGCTTTGGTGCAAGGCTCCCCCAACAGACTGATATTTTATGTGGAAATATTTAACTTTTTACTCCATTGCATTTATCTGACAGCTAGTTACTACTTAATCAAATTGTGGACAATGGTAATTAAAAACTTAAGTTTTTGTTCATTAATATTATAAAACACACAGTACATCACTCATCTGCAATATTCAGTCAGTTATTTAAAAAATGTAGCTCAACAGCTGTGGTCACTTTGGTTGGTGATCAATATCCATCTCCTCATCTGACTTGGTGTAACTGCACACAGCAATGACAAAGCTAATGTTGGTGATTCATTTCAGACCTACTGTGGCTCGCCAAAGCGAACCATCCTCCTGGATGACATTGAGGATGTAGAAGATGAGGAGGACCTGCAGGACCACCTGGAGATCCATTTCCAGAAGCCCAGCAACTATGGTGGTGAGATAGAAAGCATCAAGTACATCTCCAGTGAAAAGGCACTGCAGGCCTTCCTCTGTGAGGACACAATGGAATAGGATGAGTGACTTGAACCACCAGGAGCCAAACCTCATACAGATACATTATATAAGGGGATAGAACATCATATTTGTGATTTGTTTTTGATTATTTCAAAGAATCTTGTATATTTCTTGTCCGAATTTCAGCAGATTTGCTGTTCTGAGAGTTGGTGATTATATGAATTTGATTCAGTGTTTGCATATAACATGGTGAGGGGTATTTTGGTGGCCATTGGCAAGACCAGTGTGATGTTCCACCCAGTGTCCTGACATGTAGATAAATGTGTGTCTCAGAGTAATGTCACAGCCTAATTGTATGTAGATGCATGGTCCTGGACGGGGTTTGACAGCCACACAATCCTTTGAAAAGTCCTTTAGAAAATTGTATTTTTGGTTTGTTCATGTTACACAATACCTTTTGTTTGTGTTGATTCTCCTTCCTGTTGCACTTCCTCACAAGTGCAACAGACCTAAGCTGGTGTAAAGGGGACTGTGTTATTGCATCATAAATTGTCAAATAAAATCTTGAAAAGACCGGTGTTTAGTTTCATCTAGCAGTGTAGCCTGCAGATTGCAATCCCATAACCTTGCTCTTCCCTTTCAAGCATGCAGGCAAAACTGAAGGTAAAGAACACATAATGATTCTTATTTTCAGGTGATTATACACAATATGAATATTATACTGCATTTCTGCCACAAGATCATCAATCAGTCATCTATAGATCAGCATAAAGGGAACTATGATCTCAACCCCGTGTTGTAAATTAAAATAAAATAACCTTGAATCTTTGTAAATTATACACATTGAATCTTTGTAAATTATACACATTGGATCATTAAATCAAAGACAAAACATGTAACATTGTCCTCAAATACATCATAACTCCAACACAACATCCATAAACACCTAGTTACTAACCCAAGAAAGGACTATCAGTGTGGCAAACAAAAAAACAAGGTGGTGCAGGAAACATGGAAGGGTTCATCTTTTCAGAGCATTACAGTTCATTAAAGTGATCTGCCTACTAAATCATGACGTGAAGTATTTTGATTTGAAGCTGATATAGAATTAGCGTAACCCAAAACCCCATCAACAGATCATGAACATTTAAACTGACTGCAATCCCGTTATTAGTAGTTGAGACATTTTCTGGCAGACTGCAGAGTCAGTGCAGTGTCAAGGATACCATTCACTGCTAATTGTCTACCAGTCTGTCCAGTACTTTGCTTGCTACTTTACTATGTTCATCTCAGCATTAAAAAAAATTATGAGATTTAAAAGAGCTTTGGTGGAAGACAAAATGTTTGGGAATGTCAACAGGAACAATATATTGCATGCAAGCCTTTTAATATCCAAACAACATTTGAACCTCTCACACCTCAGACGATATCTCAACTGAAATGTTTTTTTTAATCATGCGCCGCTTTCCCGAGTGGCTGCAGTTGCAGCAGCTCTCACTCAAAGCGTTTTTCAAATTTTTTAGTAATTATTAGTTAAGTAATTTAATTTATTTTCAGTGTATTATTACCAGAAATAGTTGCACTATGGGCACCAAAATTGCCGTGTCTGCTGTGGACTTGTTTTTTCAACTTAAAAACTTTCCATGTCCGGACACCCCGTGAGCAGCCATGGTCCCTACTGTTTACACTAGGGATCAGCTGTTAGCGCTCCGTAACATAGCGGTGCTGCCCCATGAGAAACCCGACATCCCCCGGGAGCTGAGGAGGAGAAGACTGGGGACTCGTGCTGGAGTTCAACGTCGTGCCAGGAGAAGACGGTACAGACCTGTCCTCCTGTCCATCGTTATGGGAAATGTAAGATCTCTCCCCAACAAGATGGACAAGGTAACGGCGCTGACCCGGCACCAGAGGGAATATCGGGAGTGCAGCATCATGCTGTTTACAGAGACATGGCTGAACTCATTGACCGCGGATTCACGTGTTTCAGTGGCTGGATTTAATCTTCAACGGGCCGACAGGACACAGGAGAGTGGTAAGGGGAAAGGAGGAGGGCTGGCTGTGTTTGTGAATGATAGATGGTGTAAGCCTGGACACATCACTGTTAAAGAGCAACTCTGCTGCAAGGACATTGAACTATTAGCTGTTAGCATGAGGTCATATTATCTTCCACAGGAATTTTCACATGTTGTTGTGATAGTGGCTATGCCACCCCCTCTGCTAATGGTGACACGGCCTGTGATGTCCTGCACTCAGGTGTGAGCAGGCTGCAGACACAGCACCCTCAAGTCCTATTCCTCATCTCTGGGGACTTTAATCATGCCTCTCCTTCCTCCACTCTGCCCAAATTCACCCAGTACGTCACCTGCCACACCAGAGACAATAAAATACTGGATCTGTTTTATGCCAACACCAAGGAGGCATATAATTCAACACCCCTCCCTCCCCTGGGGAGATCAGATCACAACCTGGTTCATCTCCTGCCTGTGTATGAACCCCTCGTGCACAGACAACCAGCTGTGACCCGCACAGTGAGAGGATGGTCTGAGGAGACTGAAAGAGGCTCTGAAGGACTGACTCAACTGTGTGGGAAGAACTCTGTTATCCTCATGGGGAGGATATCGACAGCCTCACTCACTGCATCACAGACTATATTAACTTCTGCATGAAGAACACTGTACCCACCAGGACTGTATGGTGTTTCTCCAACAACAAACTTTGGATCAATCCAGACATTAAGGCCCTGCTGAAGGAGAAAAAGAGGGTCTTTAAGTCTGGAAACAAGGAGAAGTTGAAGTCTGTGCAGAAGGAGCTGACGTGGAAGATTAGAGAGGGGAAGAACAGATACAGGAAGAAAATGGAGGATCAGCTGCTGCAGAACAACATCAGCAGCGTCTGGAGAGGCCTGAAGACCATCTCAGGCTACAAAGAACCGGACTCCCAGGCTGTGGGGGATCAGAAGTGGGTGAATGATCTGAACCTATTTTTCAGCAGGTTCAATCAGACATCCAACCCTCTCCCGGTCCAGCCATCCCTGCTGCAGCCCCCCTTGTCTACATACCCTGTATTTTCCCCCTCCATCAACCCCAACCCCACCCCCACCCACACAGCACTCAGAGCCTGTCCACAAGAATACATTCTCAGTTCACAGCTCTCAGGTGTGGATTATCACATCGCATCCTGGATTATGGATTAATGAATGAATGAATTAATTGATTAATAATTACTCACCAACCACCCACAGTATGTGAGGACCAAGGACTGTGTCTCGGACATGGTGGTCTGCAGCACAGGGACTCCACAGTGAACAGTTTTGGCTCATTTCCTGTTCACTGCAGACTTCAATTCAATTCAATTTCAATTAAATTTTATTTGTTTAGCGCCAATTCATAACAGAAGTTATCTCAGGACACTTTTCAAATAGAGCAGGTCTAGACCGAACTCTTTAAAACAGTAATTACAGAGACCCAACAGTACCACCATGAGCAAGCACTTGGCGACAAGGGCAAGGAAAAACTGCCTGTTAAAAGGCAGAAACCTAGGACAGATCCTTCGGCTCTAGGTGGACTCACCTAACTAAAAGCTTTATCAAAGAGGAATGTCTTAAGCCTACTCTTGAATGTGGTGAGGGTGTCTGCCTCCCGAACCACAACTGGAAGCTGGTTCCACAGGAGAGGAGCTTGGTAACTGAAGGCTCTGGCTCCTGATCTACTTTTAGAGACTATAGGAACCACAAGTAGCCCAGCATTCAGAGAACGTAGTGTTCTAGTGGGGTAATAGGGTACTATGAGCTCTTTAAGATATGAAGGGGCCTGACCATGAAGAGCTTTATAGGTGAGGAGGAGGATTTTAAATTCTATTCTACATTTTACAGGGAGCCAATGCAGAGAAGCTAGTACAGTAGAGATGTGATCTATTTTTCTAGTTCCTGTCAGTACTTGTGCTGCAGCGTTCTGAATTAATTGGAGCGTTTTAATGGACTTATTGGGGCAACCTGATAATAAAGAGCTGCAGTAATCCAGCCTTGAAGTAACAAATGCATGGATTAGTTTTTCTGCATCTGTCTGTGATAGTATGTGTCTAATTTTTGTAATATTACGTAAATGAAAGAAGGCAGTCCTAGAGGTCTGCTTTATGTGGGAGTTAAATGACAAATCCTGATCAAAGATAACTCCAAGATTCCTGACAGTGGTGCTAGAGGCCAAGTTAATGCCATCTAGAGTAACTATATCTTTAGACAGTGAGTCTCTAAGGTTTTTGGGGCCAAGAACAAGAATTTCGTTTTTTTCTGAGTTTAACATCAGAAAATTGCAGGTCATCCAGGATTTTATGTCCTTAAGACATGTTTGTAATTTAGATAATTGATTAATTTCATTGGGCTTGATTGATAGATATAACTGCGTATCATCTGCATAACAGTGAAAGTTAATGGAGTGATTCCTAATAATGTTGCCTAAAGGGAGCATATATAAAGTAAATAGTATTGGTCCAAGTACAGAACCTTGTGGAACTCCATGACTAACTGTAGTATTTATTGAAGATTCATCGTTAATATGTACAAACTGCGAGGGATCTGATAAATGTGACTTAAACCAGCTTAGTGCGGTTCCTTTAATGCCAATTTGATGCTCAAGTCTCTGTAAAATAATATTATGGTCAATGGTGTCAAATGCAGCACTAAGATCTAATAATACAGTACAGAGACAAGTCCATTGTCAGAAGCAATCAGAAGGTCATTATTAACTTTAACCAGAGCTGTCTCTGTGCTGTGATGGCCTGACTGAAAATCCTCAAATAAACTATTGTTATGTAGAAAGTCACACAACTCTTTGGCGACTACTTTCTCCAGAATTTTAGAGAGGAAGGGGAGGTTAGAAATCGGTCTATAGTTGGCTAAAACCCCTGGGTCAAAAGTGGGCTTTTTAAGAAGGGGTTTAATTACAGCTGACTCCTTCACCCCAAATGTGTGAAGGAGAGATATCGTAGGTCCTTCCTTCCCGCAGCTGTCAGACTGTTTAACAACCAGCACTGCTCCCAGTAGACCCCCCCCCCATCACGGCTACAATAATAATAATAATAATGTGCAATAATTACTGTGCAATCTATAACATCACATTGATACTCTGCTTTCCCAGTATTTATTCGTTATACAGCTCTAATAGCTGACACAATTAATCCAGGGGCTCACAAGGGCCTGGACACAGCCTGTGTCAGCAGTGCACTGCTATGGCTTGCACACCTATGGTGACCACACATAGAACATTTCTGCTGCTATGCTGCTGCCAGCCCTATCTTTCTACATTGAGTTTCCCTTTGATAAATACAATAATTGTATTGTATTTATCAAAGGGAATGATGAGCTTGTGCAAAATACTTAATTAACGAGTAGTAAGTGCTTTGTAACTGCCTCAATTCATGAATTTCTGCATTAATAACTGTTTATAGGCCATCATTAGAAAATGAATTTGTTGAGAGTTTTTATAGAACATCTGCTAACACAGTCACTAATCATTAATACATGTCTGAATAGTGGATGTGCAAGTGCATGCAGAAATGTACAGTAAAGAGTAAAACATTTATAACTGATTATAAACCACATAGTAATGACTATTTACAGCAGAATCATGCTTTATAAATGATGAATTCAATATTTACTAATTTACTATAACTAATGTGCTTATCAATGACGAATAAAACGTTTTTAACTGTGTTTATAAACTACATACTAATGGGTATTCCTCCGTTACAAATGATGATTTAATTATTTATTCATGCTTAAATAATGCTTAATAGTGTGTACTCATTATAAAGTGTTACCGAAAAGTCTCTTCCACCAAGACAAAAGTGTGAAAAGTATGAAAGGTATATATTTGTTATTCATTTCAAATAATTAAATTTGGAAATTTACTGCAGCCATATACAATCATATCAAAAATAAGTCCATATGAGAAAAACAGAGAATCTACAACATGAACACTAGAATGTTACTTACTAATTAAGCCTCATTTAGAACAAGCCTTCCTGGCTTTGTAGGCCCTTACTGTGGTGAAATTAGCATTACCATTAACTTTTCTGTAAACTCCTTATATTTTGATAATATCATAGTATATTCTATACCCCCTTATATGCGCTGCACAACCGCAGATTAAGTTGACACTGAGTCAACTAACTGCAAGATACCATTAGTGATTTATGATTTTGTGTGTGTTCTCTTTTTATTTAACATCATTTTACCAATCATACTTTGGACAGAAGTCCAGATGTCAGTGTAATTTTCAAAATGTATGAGCAAACCCACAGTTTACTATTGTTTTGTATACTCATAAATATAGCAAGGACTTCGGAAATAATAGAAGCTCTAATTGAAAGTACAAAAAGTTCAGGACGGGAACTTGATTCAATCCTTGAACGTACTATGACTAGTTTTTAACTGGTAATGAAACAGTCTCAATTTAATACTGATGCATCTATATAACCTACATAAACAAACAAGACCATCAGAGAGAAGACTGGCATGCCCACACTATATACTATACTTGCAGAGAATGAAATGGTTCTGTAATAAGAAAGCAGCAAACTGTATGTGTGTCTCCTTGTCTCCAAACTTACCTACCTGCCCACACAGCACTCAGAGCTGTCTAATGTCTAATGTCTCTGGTCTGCTGATGTCAAAGCAGATGAGGACTGCATCAGTATCAGGATAGGAGAGAGGCCGCACATTGTCATACTAGGTAGAACCTTTAATTTAAAAAACACATAACAATTGTTATTTATATGTATATATATGTAAAAAATCTAGTTTTGCCAATACATCAAGCTACAATAGTATGCTATTTCATGACATTATTGCGAGGTTTAACAGTCACTCAGAACCTGATTCATTAGCTCTCAAAAGGACTTAATAGCCTCTTCAGGCCAAGATGTTTGAATTCACAGATGGAGTACAGATGGTGCACTCTGGACCAGTTCTGAGACTACAATGCAAATTACCCAAATTATATTTTTATGTTATTTATCTAATTCACCTAAACACAAATTAAAGCAAGTGAATATCAAGAGTCAATTCCACATGTAGGAGTTTTTCAACATGCTGAAATCTCACACCCTAACCCTTCACAAATTTCCAAGAACAGATCTACACAATATAAACATGGAGAACACATCTGATGTCCGGTTTCTTATGGTAAACAAACAGAGAGGAGGTCCTTATTTTCATAGCCTTTACCACAGTGCCTTGAAAATGTCTCCTGCCTTTCTTCAAGAGCTGTGGTATGAGGGTTTTTCCATGGGAACATTTGTGGGAGAAAGCAGATGAAAATGCAGAATCTGAAAGAAAGAGGACCAAGGGAACAAAATGGGCACTCCTTCAGTTATTGCAGTGCACTCAAAGCAGTGAGCTTAATGAGCAGTGGAGCAGTTAGATCTTCTATTAAAAGTAAGCATCTGTTTATTTTGTCTTTGACCACCATCATTCAATAACAAAACAAATCCAGCTACTAGCTTTTAAGTGATGTGCAAATCTATTCGATATATTCAAATATCACTTAATGTATGGATGATACTATCATCATATTTGACTTTTCAATGTTTCTGCTGGTTGCCACTGGGGGAATGGTAAATGGTGTACACTACATGCCACACTCAACCCATTCACACATTCATACACTGATGCATTGGGAGCAATTTGTGGCTCAGTATTTTGCTCAAGGACACTTCGACACGCAGCAAGAGGAGCCGGGGAACCACCAACCTTTCGATTAATGGACGACCCGCTCTACTGAGCCACAGCCACACCCACACCCAAGGGGTAGTTATGTTACTTGAATAGCCATACAGTGTGTAGATAAATGAAGTTTTACTTTTTTGGCCTTTATTTGACAGAGAGATAGCTGGAGAGAGGCGGGGGGGGCAGAGAGAGAGGGGACGACATGCAGCAAAGGGCCGCAGGTCGGACTCAAACCTGGGCCGCTGCGCATATGGGTCGCCAGCTCTACTGACTGAGCTAACCGGGGACCCTGATAGATAAAGGTTTTAATAATTACCGAAAGGCTACGCAATTGTGCTGCCACAGAAAAGAAAGAGGCGTAAGCATGTATATGTTGGGGGAGTGGGCTGGTGGGAGAACACTGGAATTTCCCTTGGAATAAATTAAGTATCTATCTATCTATCTATCAAAAAGTTTATTTCCGGCACTATTTTTCCTGCAGCTCAATGCAACGTCAATCAGCAATGCATTTCATCACTACACTTCATACACTAAAACTGCTGAATTGTTCGTTATGAACATAATTCTTGTGAATACCATCATTACCATAAGGTAAATGACTGGTGAGCTCATCCCTCCCTGGAAGACATCTCCAGCTTACACTGCCTCAGCAGAGTCAGAGACATCCTAAAAGACTCTTTCATTCTGGACACCTGTTTGACCTGTTGCCTCTTTGCAGAAGCTACAGCACTATCAAAGCACAGACCACCAGATTTAAAACAGTTTCATTTTTCTGAGATAAAATATCTCGGCTTTATATTTGATTTCCACACACACTTTGAGACAAACGTCAAAATGGAGAGCAAGGTTGCATTGTTATTGTTTGCTATGTTTCTTATTATTCTTACCTATTATTATTTTTAGCGCCTTTGACTGCGTTTTTGCCCCCCTGAACATATACAAAAAGTCAATTTTATTTGGCAAAGTTTTCAGGCCTGGTGAAAAATTTTATATTCTATGCGTCTTTTTCGAGTCGGCCACTAGGTGGCGCTACTATTGAGAAAAGTATTTTCACTTTTTGGTTACTTAATAACTTTTGCATATTTTGTCGCACATTCAAAAAACTTATATCCGCGCGTTCGGTGAATGGAGCTGAATCTCTCCATATAGGCCCCGCTCACTTCCGCCAATAATTTTTTTTCGTTACAGTGCGAAATGTCCTTAAAGTACTTTCCGTGGTCCTCCTACACGCTTTGTCCGATTCGCACGAAATTTTTCACCTAGCACCT